CGAGCAAGCTTTCAACGAGCAGCAAGCGAAAATGCGCCGAATCTTTAACCTAGTTCCAAGCATAAAACCCCGAACCCTAAGCTAACCTACCAACTATGAAACTTTACAATTGAGTTCTAAACTTTTATAACTATTCAAGTTGGTCTTTTTGTTCACAGAATCGCCAATACAATATATAAACCTAACAAACTCTCCATTTGACATTTTGTGACAAAACCAAATACAAAACATAAACAACATATCAAAACTACTCAAGTCCAACTGAATCAATCTGAACGGAGCTTCCAGTTTGTTCATCATGTATCCTGAAATCAAAATTCACATATACAGTGTAAACGCACATGATACAGGAAATCAAAAAATCATCAACACAAATAAGCATGTTAGTTTGAGACGTGACATTAATGTCAATCAAAACACCAACCGAAACATTAACACCACAAAACATCAAAACTCAAACAGCTATGCATAAGATATGAATGTAGATGTAATGCATATGCTCCCCCTTACTGCAAACTTACAATTTTTTATGCAGTAGGCAGCTGTATCTATGTCTGACCCCATCGACCCCTAAAGACATATGTAACTGCTCAGAAAATGCAAAATGATATAGCTCCCTCTTACAATAAAAATTTCTCCCGCTTTTTGTCTCAAATGTCGAAGGGCCAGAACAAAAATCACTACTTAATAATGTAGGCATAAGAAATCACAAGTACATACATTGAACAGTAAACTTTCCCACAATACAAACTTAAAAGAACCATGGAATAAATCATATAAGTGACTCATACGTGTGAAGTGTCACTAATCATCTGGCAGTTGGACTCCAACCTTAATTTTGTGAGAAAAGACATGTTAAACATCACTGCTAATAAGTATATTCTTCTACTTATGAAAGTCAAACCTTAAAGCACATTAGAACCTACATATGAAAGTTCACTTCAAATCAATTCTTTTTCTCCCCCTAACTTACAGTACAAAGAATTTTTCGTTTATCACACTTTAAATATGAATGCTCATAATTTTTTTTTCATTTTAAGTGTAGGCTTCTTTCCATTAAGCGACTAATATGACTCCTGTAACGAGCTTTAGACTAGTGAACCCAAGTCAGATGATCATAGGCACTAGGTTATGAGAAACCCCGCAAACTTAATAACTCAAGTCAAGTATGCTTCGAAAAGTAGCATTAAGATATTGACCCCCTTTAATTTTTCTTTCAGACATATATTGAATCATGCAGGGATAATTTCAAGCTCAGGTCTAATTAAAATGGTCAATTCATGTTCAAAGTCACCCTACTAATATATGACTGCCATCCTGAATCTCATACACACGGTAGAGTCACACTGTCAAGATCATAGTTTGTGCTGTGCAAATGGTATATAAAGAGACCTATATTAAATACTCCATAAGCATCCTAAGCTAGCAATGGAAATTATGTTACAGCACACTAAAAAAACTCATTCTTGATTATAACTAATAAAATCAAGTGTATTGTATATCATGCTATAAAACACTTTCCAATTCAAAATCTTTTTGTTCTCTTTCTCTTCCGCCCCACGCCCCCCCTTTTTAAAAAAAAACTTAAACCAAAGCAAAAACGAAATATTTTTGTTTGTTTTTCGTATAAAAACATAAATGCAACAAGCACACAAAACAATTAAAAAAAAATCAAACATGACTACAAGAGCATAAACTAAAATGCATGAGAACAAATAAATAAATAAACAAATATGATGCATGCATATATCCATATCACATGATAAAGCACGAGCATGCACCACAAAATACCTAATCAGTTAGGTACGCCAATGCTCTTACCTTTAAGAGCACCGCGATCTATTTCAGAATTTTTCAGATCACTCTTCTTCACCTAAACTAGCCTAGTAACAGGAATATTTATATTCATCTGTGTCATGAACTTGGTCAATTTACTTACTAGATTAATAAAGAAGTCGATATGACCAACATAATCCTGATTCTTATTTCTATTTAAGTTCCAATTTCTATTTCTATTCAGAAATGATGACATCTAGGTCTTATGTGACCTAACTCTCCACAGTGATAACACGTAGGGACAAACCTAGGACTAATGTTATGTGGATGTTGACGTCTATTCCTAGGTCGATGGGTCCTACGCTGTCTAGTAGGCCTCTATCTAACAAATCCTTTATTTTTAGATCCGGGGTTAGGCACATGTTTGTGCTGGTCAGTTGCAGAGACAAATGTGGTCTTAGAAATACTGGCAACATTGCTCTCTTTCCTTTTAAATCCTAGACCTCCCTTGTTTCCAGCTGACTTGCTAATTCCTAGAATACTATCTAACCTTTCAGAACCACTAGTGAAGGCAAGTAATTGAGATTTAGAATATTCTAGATCGCTAAATAGGTTCTTAACCTGGATATCTAAAGTCTCTCGCTCTATGGCCAACTCTCTAACTTTCCTAGAGGATCTCTCGAGCTCATTGGTGAGATTTCTAACCCGAGTATCTAAAGTTTCATTCATAGATTTGAATTCACTCAGGATCGAGGTAGATTCCTTAATGTGTACAACTAACTTCTCAATATCCAATTCTAGTTCATTATTCCTCACACTCAAGCCCTTATTCTTGACAAAATCTTAAGACTCTCGATACATTTTATCATAGGCCTCTTGGATATCTTCCTCACTCACATACTTATCACCAGAACCATCATCACTATATAATGAAGTATTCATCTAGACCGTAAGGTCAGGACACGTGTTAGGCTCTGATACCAATTGAAAAAATACAATACATGTAATTCTCTACCAATTAAAATTTGATACAAATTGAGAAATGCTTTTTAATAACAAGTTCAACCTTATATGCCGAATAATACTAATCAAAGCAACAAGTCACTTTTAATTAGTTTCTAGATGGTTAATCATGCAAGTCAATTTAGCCTATCTTTGAATACTGCAGTTTATATGATCAATAAACAATAAATAATGAAAGCAGTAAATCAACACCAATATGATGCCAATATGATGACAGAGAAACCCCAACTAGGTAAAAACTCTGGGACCAAGCCAGTTACCTCCACTATAAACAATGTGAGTTACAGTTCAGTTCCAAACTAGTTCCACTAGCTGTTGTAAACCCTGAAACTCCAAGATCTGCTGCTCATTCCAGCCTTGTGATTTGCTACCGTAGATACTATCTAGCCATCCTGCTAGATCTTTCGATCTACCTCCTGTAGCTTCCAAGTTTTGATGTACTTGCAAACTCACAATCTTTACCAAGATATGTTGTAGCAGTCTCACGTTCTTCTGTACACGTCTCTTCCAAGTGGATACCCAAGAACCTCCTGTTCTTGTGCTATTCCCGTGCTTGTAGTCCACCTCTTCCAAATCCCAATGAAAGAGTCAGTTCCTTAAATCATTAAGGACGCCAGGTTTTTTGATTATGGAACCTTTGATATTTTCCAAAATCGGGTTGCTGGATCTCAAGAAATAAGTTGATGAATCTCTCAATGATTTGCCTATTGGATTTCTTTCAAATATGTTAATGAATCTCTCAATGTAAGAACAAAGTAGCAACCACAATGAATTCGTCCACGGCGCCTCTATTTATAGTTGAACCTATTTTGGAGACTTGGGCCGTATAAAACTCATCAATAAACGTGACTTAGGTTTTCCATATACAACCGTCGCTCGAGCGAAACTGCTTTGTACCTCGAGCGAACGATACGTCGCTTGAGCGAGCGAGCGGCTAGCGAAAGTCGAGCGAAGACTGTTCTGTTTCAGTCGCTCGAGCATGCTTCCGGTGAGCAGCTAGAGAAAATGCGTCGAGTCTTTAACCTAGTTCTAAGCATAAAACCCTGAACCCTAGGCTAACCTACCAACTATGAAACTTTACAATTGAGTCTCTTAACTTTTATAACTGTTCAAGTTGGTCCTTTTGTTCACAGAATCGCCAATACAATATATAAACCTAACAGTTATGTTTGCTAATATAGTGTAAAATGTGTCCATTTCTTGTGTCTTTTAAATTGCCTCCAAAAGAAGTTTTAATTTTGATTAAGGCTCTGTTTGGGCCCCATTTTTTAGGAAATATGGTTAAAAAGTAGGGAAACATTTAGGGTTTACGTGTAAAATTATTTTATTGGAAGAATGTTGATTGAAAATAAATTTGAGAAAAATGAGTTTTTAAAGGATGAGGCTCAAACAAGAGCTAAGATGATTTGCCTTGTGTATATCCTGCATAATATTTGCCTTACTCTGTGGAACCTATCAACTGAGTGAACAATTATTATCTACATGTCAATAATATCCATGCACAAGCGAAAATTGTGAGGTCACCTAGTTCATCTTTAGAGTCATGTTTGCAACTATGTGGAATCAGCTTGGTAGGCTATTGGCTACAGAAGAAAGTCGAGTGCTAATAATACTTGAAAATGGTCTAAATTGATGAAGCATATCGAATGAGACAGTTAGGTTGCACGGACACTTGCTCGTCCATTGTGATATGCATTTTTATTACATCCAGGAGCCTCCTCTTGTAGAGAGTTGCCCATAAAAGATTATAAAAATGTGTAACATCTCAACATCACAAAAATAATAGTAAATTTGGCATAATAAAAATGCCTAAAATGCCAGCAAGAAAGAAGGTAGAAAGAGCAACTCCCTAGTTACATTAACAGATAGCTATGCAATTAAAATCAACAATTTTGAATGCAAAAGATTGTTCTTTGCTAGGAAGTTAGCAAAAATATTGCTCTTTTAATTAAATAATTCAGTACATGTAAGATACAGAAGGACTCACCCAAATACAAAGACCCAAGAAAGATTCACATGACAGGTTCACCAATAGACTCATTAACACATTGAAGAATCAATTATTGGAGAAATGGACCAAATAGTCATATTTGTTAAGAACATAATCGATGACAATATACCATAAGAAAGATAGTTTCAAAGGTACTACAATAAGTTTCAACATGCACTATACTAACCTAAATTTTTTGACGGGATCTTATCTAAATGACCACTCTCCTTTGCTGCAATTTAGCCTTCTCAGCATCGATAATGGACTCCACCAGCTTCACCGAGCTTTCCAATTCACCTTCCTTGTTTACAACCACATAATTAAACTTATTCAAATGCCTCACCTCTTCCCTAGCTGTTGCAACTCTCATTAGAAGAGTCTCCTTCGTTTCTGACTTCCTATCAATTAATCTCTTCACCATTGCCTCCTCACTCTCTGCCACCAAAAACACAAAAATCGCACTCTTTCTCAAGATCCATCTCAATGTCATGGCTCCCTGTATATCCACTCTCAACACAATGTCACACCGTTTCTCCATGTACTGCCTAATCTGTTGCTTTGGGATCCCCTTGTAGTCACCGTACACCAATGCATACTCCAAGAGCTCCTTTTTCTGGATCATAGATAAAAATTCCTCTTTACTCAAAAAAAAAAAAAGAAATCTTTTCCATCAACTTCTCCAGGCATTTTAGCTCGGCTAGTTGCTGTAACCACAAAATGCAAATCTTCTCTAACTTCTCTCAATCTTTTGATTACAGCATCTTTGCCAACACCACTGGGACCACTTATCACAATAATCAAAGGTCCACGGTTCGGGACTATGGGCTGAGAGCTAAATTGCGAGCACAAAAAGAGGCCTCCAGGGCCCGGAATACCTCGACCGGTTCGGCAGTTTCCAGGGGTGGAATGGGGACAACTGGGGACCTCCTAGGAGCATCCATAGTGGAACTTGCGGCATTTTCCGACACCAAATTGTGCGAATTCACGGATATCCGCCTCGGAAACCTTAGTTTCACGGATTCACAATTCGATATAAATACTGGGTATGAGTTTAAACTAGCAAAAGGGCTTGTCAGTTTTGGGGAAAGAAAAAAAAGGATTCACAATTCGATATAAATCCTCGGTTTGAGTTTAAACTAGCAAAAGGGTTTATCAATTTTGAGGAAAGAAAAATAGGGTGGTAGCGGGATTTTGATAAAGAGAGGAATAACCTTCGGAATAGCATCGAATGTATATTAGAATTGTGTTTTTCCGTGTGAAATTTTCACGTGGGAATCGAGAAAACTAAAGATTTTACCTTGCGAATTCCTGAGAATTTTAGTCTTTAATTTAAGATGTTGGGTCTATCTTCTTTCCTCCACCGGATTTCTCTTTCAGGAATTTTCAATTTCTTCATAATCTCTGTAAGGGAAGATTTCTAACTAACTGCTGAATGCATAGCATGGTGTGTGTTTACCTCGAGTTTTTACACAGAGTATAAGAAAATGACGATCAATAATTTTTTTGACGCAGATATTACCTAAAAGAATTTATAGGTCACAATTTATTAATCGTTCACAAATCATAAATTTATACGTCACAATTTATTCATCTGTCACAAATCTATCAAATTAATAAGTTATATATTATTCATTGGTCACAAATCATAAATTTTATATGTTACGAATTATTTTACGGTCACAGTTTTGAAATTTTATAGGTCACAATTTGTTTATCAGTCATAAATCAAAAATTTATACGTTACAAATCACAAATATTATAAGTCACAACTTAGTTGACGTCACAAATTGTCAAATTATCGATCACAAATTAAATTTTTTTTAGGTCACACATTATTTTTTGGTCACAATCAACAAAATAATTTGTGATCACAACCAACACTTGTGATCACCACCGTACTACTCCCTCCAATGGCACCACCGCCATCTTCGCTGTCGAACCACTACCATTTCCCGATAGCAATACCATCACCTCAAACAAATCAACACAGAGAAACACAACCACCACGTATCACGTGAACGCAAACCATCACCACACCACACCCACCAACAAAATCCCCAAACCCGTAACCACCATTTGCACTTTCAATACACTACAAGTCATCCTCCAACTCCGAACACTACAAAATCAGAAAAAGAAAGATAAACGGAAAGCCTAAATTTTGCAACGGTAGCGACGATCGGCCCTATTTCGTTTTTTTTCATTTCAGTTATTGTTCGCTTATTTCTTCCAAATTTCGCCATATCCATAAAATTGCCACCTAAATCAAAATATGAACGTAATGAGTATATTTTGGCACTGATTAATCATACGAGCACATAAAATAAGGAGTGAGAAATATACATTTTACATTCCTATCAATTATCATTTGATTTTTGAAATAAAAACTTGTTAATATGATTTTTGAAATTGAAAGTTTAAAATTCTGGTATGATGTAATTTCCACTTTAAGTAATTTAGTATTTATTTTTGGGCCAAGATTTGTTGGATCTAGAAACCATTAGTTTCACCGAAAATGGAAATTTGACGCAAATAGCGCCGAATTAATTGTATAATAAAACTTAATTTTTTTTTAATTTGGGTAAATTACGACAAAGGTCCTCCACCTTTCAAAAATAGGTGATTCCGCCACTCCCCCACCCCGTCCTACCCAGCCCAGACCCACCACACCATAGACGGGGCGGGGCTGGTTCGAGGCGCAGGCTTGCCCCGTTTATTTTTTTTTAAAAAACTTCCAATTAACTATTTTTTGTTTTTAATTTGTAGTTAATTATTTTTTTATTCTTCACGGGGCGGGGCACCCCCTCCCCGCCCCGTCCCGTCCCGTCCCACCAACTCGTCGCGGCAAGTTTTTTTGGCCCCACTTTTGGGCGGGGTAGTGCCGGGGCGAATTTTTTTGTCATCACTGATTTGTCCTAGATGACCCAGAGTAAGCTACCAATGTGTTCCTTCTTAGTAGAATGATTGAAGAGGTTCAAGTGTTCAACATTGGTTGTACTGCATTTACAACACAACTTACATATTTATTTACGAATAGATGACTTGACATGATTTGATTGAGTCAAAATTTTATTGACTGAAAAAAAAAAAAAAAATCTCTCAATTTCTTTTTGTCATTAACTCACATTACATGAGACAATCGTTCAAGTGATGACGAGATTTTGATTTTTTAATTTAATTTATTGTCACCTCATCAATATATAAAAAAAATATGTAAATGATGATATACAACAATCATTTTTCGTTCAACACTATGTCATCTAAGGTTGCCCCAATGCATAGTTTGATAGTTCCTCACGCCCTTGTTGATTGTCAAGCTTGCTTAGCCACTAGTGCCCGATTGAATAACAACAGGTCTCTAAACCCCATAAAAATAAGTTGTACATCATTCTTCCAAGTTCCAACGGGCTAAATAAATGGGAGAATTATGCTACATTCATTTCCTACATTTTTGTTGACATTCTGTAAGGTGTCAAAATTGAGATCATTGATAGTTTTAAGTATTGTTAAAATCAATAGTAAAATTGTGTGTCAACCCACACAGTGTCAAATAAATTGTCAACCATGTACACTAAGAAAAATTGTTCAATATATTATGACGAGGAAATAATTGAGTTTTGTCCATATATTTCCCAACTCTCGCACCTGAAATGGCGTGCATGGATTGAGTAAGAAGGTAAGAACTAAGACTAAGAAATATATTCTTAGCCCTGGTTTGATTTTTATTCTTTGAGAAGTAATTTTGTGAAATAATTATTTTGGATGATTTGTTATTAAATTAGGGAAAGTCATGGTTTTACATGTAAAATTATTTTATTAAAAAATATGTTGTTAAACGTGAATTTGAAAAAAAGTGATATTGAAAAAATCAAAACAAACAAGGACTTAGTGCTTTAAAGATTTCTTCATACTACAAAGTGGGAAAGGAGGAACGTGCACCCAACCATCTTCCATAAAGGAGCATGAAATCAAAAAATTTATATTCATTTTTGAATTAGGGATGTTCCTAGTTTTTAATACTATTTTTTTTTTTTTGAAGATTACTCTTGTTTATGCATAATGTCAAATTTTAGATAAAATCCATAAGGTTGAAACAATTTTCAAAATTAGATGTTGATTGGTTATGTTCATCTTCTGTGAGATGACATGGAAATTAGGTAAAATTGGATATATTATAGCAAATTATGGCAAAGAAGGACGAAAATACGTGAAAAACAACTAAAATGATGAAAAAGAGTCTAGACAATAGGATACCGCTCGCATGCTCTATGTGGTGTGTGATGTGCCAACGAGGGAAGAACCTAGAGCGTGCATGCAACGGAGATCGCTTGCATGCGACCCTATAGGTGCTTCAAGCACATGACGTCCCTTGACGTATTTTTCATTGTTTGGATGATTTTTTGTGATTGAAAAACATGTGAAAATGTTCCTTTCTATACCCAAAGATCCAGATAAAAGTTACAACTTTACACGAATAGTCATGTGAAAATATATACATATATTTCATGTCCTCTTGACATATACTTTTGATACTGAGCCAATATAGTGTTTATTTTTTCTACGTATTATACTTGTTCACAGAGGCGGCCCTGAGGGTGCGCGAATTTTTTCAAAAACTTCCAATTTACTATTTTTTGTTTTTAATTTGTAGTTAATTATTTTTTATTCTTTACGGGGCGGGGCACCCCCTCCCCGCCCCGTCCCGTCCCGTCCCACCAACTCGTCGCGGCAGGTTTTTTTGGCCCCACTTTTGGGCGGGGTAGTGCCGGGGTGGATTTTTTTGTTATCACTAATTTGTCCTAGATGACCCAGAGTAAGCTACCAATGTGTTCCTTCTTAGTAGAATGATTGAAGAGGTTCAAGTGTTCAACATTGGTTGTACTGCATTTACATCACAACTTACATATTTATTTACGAATAGATGACTTGACAAGATTTGATTGAGTCAAAATTTTATTGACTAAAAAAAAAAATCTCTCAATTTCTTTTTGTCATTAACTCACAATACATGAGACAATCGTTCAAGTGATGACGAGATTTTGATTTTTTAATTTAATTTATTGTCACCTCATCAATATATAAAAAAAATATGTAAATGATGATATACAACAATCATTTTTCGTTCAACACTATGTCATCTAAGGTTGCCCCAATGCATAGTTTGATAGTTCCTCACGCCCTTGTTGATTGTCAAGCTTGCTTAGCCACTAGTGCCCGATTGAATAACAACAGGTCTCTAAACCCCATAAAAATAAGTTGTACATCATTCTTCCAAGTTCCAACGGGCTAAATAAATGGGAGAATCATGCTACATTCATTTCCTACATTTTTGTTGACATTGTGTAAGGTGTCAAAATTGAGATCATTGATAGTTTTAAGTATTGTTGAAATCAATAGTAAAATTGTGTGTCAACCCACACAGTGTCAAATAAATTGTCAACCATGTACACTAAGAAAAATTGTTCAATATATTATGACGAGGACCTAATTGAGTTTTGTCCATATATTTCCCAACTCTCGCACCTGAAATGGCGTGCATGCAATGAGTAAGAAGGTAAGAACTAAGACTAAGAAATATATTCTTAGCCCTGGTTTGATTTTGATTTTTTGATTAGTGATTTTGTGAAATAATTATTTTGGATGATTTGTTATTAAATTAGGGAAAGTCATGATTTTACGTGTAAAATTATTTTATTAAAAAATATGTTCTTAAACGTGAATTTGAAAACAAGTGATATTGAAAAAATCAAAACAAATAAGGACTTAGTTCTTTAAAGATTTCTTCATACTACAAAGTGGGAAAGGAGGGACGTGCACCCAATCATCTTCCATAAAGGAGCATGAAATCAAAAAATTTATATTCATTTTTGAATTAGGGATGTTCCTATTTTTTAATACTATTTTTTTTTTTTTGAAGACTACTCTTGTTTATGCATACTTTCAAATTTTAGATAAAATCCATAAGGTTGAAACAATTTTCAAAAGTAGATGTTGATTGGTTATATTCATCTTCTGTGAGATGACATGGAAATTAGGTAAAATTTGATATATTATAGCAAATTATGGCAAAGAAGGACGAAAATACGTGAAAAACAACTAAAATGGTGAAAAAGAGT